TGTGGGAGGCGTGTGGGAAGGAGGCGTGTATAAATGAGGCGTGTGGGAGGAGGCGTATGGGAGGATGAGTGTGTGAGGGAAGAGGAGGGAGGAAGTGGGGAAGGACCCATGTGGGAGGCGTGTGGGAGGAGGCGTGTGGGAAGGAGGTGTGGTGGGAAGGAAGCGTGAGGGAGGAGGCGTGGGAAGGAGGCGGTGGGAAGGAGGCGTGTGGGAAGAAGGCGTGTGGGGAGGGAAGAGTGAGGGAGGAGCCGTGTGGAAAGACCCATGTGGGAGGCGTGGGGGAGGCGTGGGAAGGAGGCGTGGGGAAGAAGGCGTGTGTGAGGGAAGAGTGAGGGAGGAGCCGTGTGGGAAGGAGGCGTGTTGGAGGAGGCGTGTGGGAGGCGTGTGGGAGGAGACGTGGGGAGGCGTGTGGGAGGAGGCATGTGGGAAGGAGGCGTGGGAAGTAGGCGTGTGAGGGAAGAGTGAGGAGGAGGCGTGTGGGAAGGAGGCGTGTGGGAAGAGACGTGTGGAGGAGGCGTGTGGGAGTAGTGTGTGTGGGAAGGGCGTGTGGGAGGAGGCGTGGGAAGGAGGCGTGTGGGAGGAGGCGTGGGTAAACATGGCCAGGATATTGGCTCCGGCCGGTTGAGTTGAAGGGAGGGTCTGTGTGTGTGTTTGTCCACAAGTTGGGGTGCAAGTTTACTATCTGTCTGTCTGTCTGTCTGTATGTCTGTCTGTGTCTGTGTGTCTGTATGTCTGTCTGTCTGTATGTATGTCTGTCTGTGTCTGTGTGTCTGTATATCTGTCTGTCTGTGTCTGTGTGTCTGTATGTCTGTGTGTGTGTCTGTCTGCGTGTATGTTTTTGTATGTGTGTCTGTCTGCTTGTCTGCGTGTCTGTCTATTTGTCGGTCTGTCTATCTTTATAAGTTTGTGTCTGTCTGTCTGGTCATACGTGTAAATAATATATACCCGTATATTAAATTTTTCCCAACTTTTTTGTAATTAGAGTGTATGTTTGAGGGAGTCCACACACACACACACACACACACACACACACACACACACACACACACACACACACACACACACACACACACACACACACACACACACACACACACACACACTAATTTGCTGTCACTCGGAATCGAGTATGACAATCATCCAGCTATGAGACAATGCTATGAGGTATTAGGGATGTCACCTAAGTTGGTGAGTTTTGAGGTGACTAAAGAGACCGATACGGGACCCGCAGCGTCGTTCACATTCGTTGCACACGTGGAGGGCTCCATCTACTGCTGGAGGGGTGGTGGCAGCGTCTTTCCGGCGTTGGCGCTTGACTGCCTCGGCTTGCAATCGGGCTAACTCGAAAGTATTGACAACTTCTCGTGTGGTGCTCCTCCAAGCGTTACGATGTGAAGTAATCGACTCCCAGGTGAGGGGGTCGATTTGGCACTTTTTCAGGTTTGTCTTAAGACTATCTTTATACCTTTTCAATTGCCCGCCGAGTGGAGACGGCTGGTAAGCAGAGGTCCTCCTGCTTTATACACCTTGGCTGGGATTCCATCAGGCCCTGAGGCTTTGTTATTTTCCATCTGTTTGATGGCAGTAGCTACCTCATCCAGGGATGAAGGATAGCTGAGATGGGTCAGCTCTGGATCCTGAGGGACCTGCTGGGTAGTCAGGACATCCACATCGGTGTTTCGGTTGAGCAATGAATGGTAGTGCTCTTTCTAGTGCTGAAGGAGGCCTTCATCATCTTTAATTATGCGGTTACCGTCAGATGAGCGGAGGGGGGCTGTGCCACGAGTGACTGGTCCCTAAAATGCTTTACTGGAAATTAAAAATTCGTGCATCTTGTGCTGATCTGCATGTTTTTGTGCTTCACCTGATTCATTTTTCAGCCAATCGTTCCTTAAATTGCGAAGTTCCCGCTGGGCTGCCGCTTTCTTCATGCAGACGGTATCAGCTTTGGTTCGAGACTGAGGGTTGTTCTGCCAGTCAGTAAGAGCAGCACGTTGATCATCGATGAGTACTTTGATTGCCTGGTCATTTTCATCAAACCAGTCCTGGTGTATTCTTTTGATCTGGCCGAGGGTTTCTCTGCAGGTTTTTGTCATAACATTATTAAGAGTATCCCATTCGGCACTGAGATTCACGTTGCTTAATGTTGGGTTGTTTATAACCCATGTTCGAGCTTTTCTTTCAAAGCATGTGCTACCGGTGGATCCTCCAGACGCTTAGTATTAAAACCACTTCTGGAGGCTTGCTGCCTTCGCCATTTTGGGGCGGCGTGAAGTGAGAGCTTGGATCTAACAAGCAGATGATTAGTGTCACAGTGGTCTAAGCCATGCATGGCATGGGTGATGAGGACATATCGGCGATCTCTTTCTCTGACAATGATGTAGTCAATGAGTTGCCAGTGTTTGGATCGTGGGTGTTGCCACGAACTCTTGAACTTGTCGGCCTGCCTAAACAAGGTATTAGTGATAGTGAGGTTGTATGCAGCACATTTGCTGAAGAGGAGTAGGCCGATGGGATTACACTTGCCTAGTCCATTTCTCCCTATAGTTCCTTGCCAAATGTTAGCATCTCTGCCAACTCTGGAATTGAAGTTGCCAAGGAGCAGAACCTTG